TTTTCTAACTAATCTAATCAATAATCGATCTATAATTTAGTCGTTCTCAAACAATCTACATTTTGTAACAGTAAAAGGAGCTGGCCACTTGGTTCCTACAGATCGTCCTGGACCTGCACTGCAAATGGTTTACAATTTCGTCATGGTCAGTGGATTCCGAACATCTTTCGTATCTTTCGCAGCTCTACGAGCTCGAATTCGCAAATAGTTGCATTAGAACGTGAACCATCTAAAACTGTGTAATCCAAAGAGCTAAATAGTTCCGATGTTGCGAAGAAACATGCCGCACTGGCAAATTTGCCGCAGCCATCGACAATGATGCAAATTTCTATTGCAGGCTTCAGATTTTGATGATATGAAGTACGTACCATTCTCGCTAATTCCCGCTCCCTTGAAACCGGAATACGCCGGTTTGGGCACGTGTTCTTCAACCGTATACCCAACTCCTTCACCTATGCCAGCGATAACGATGCCAACTTTGCCACCAATGGCTGAGAGCTTTGCAAAGGTACGAATAACCATTTTTTTCTGGCTCGTTGATTAGAAATTATTGATTGCGTTTGATTTAGAATGGAGTGCAATTCAATGTAGATGCGTCCAACTTGACAGATAAGGCGATGGCGGACATGATCACATACTTGCCTGGTGTCACTTTCAATGTTACATTCCGACAGTTTTCTGGATACTTAACTTCGTCCGCTTATCCAAAAAATCATCTATTCTATTGGTAAGCAAAATTGCTAACGGACAATGAAAATTCTATAAAAATCACATAAAACTTTTCCCAACCTAGCAGTGTAGTATGCAACTTACCAGCCACAGGTTACCGCACGCGCATGCTCCAAAAACCGGAGAGGCTACTAAAGCGCTGAGAAAGTTATCCGGCCTTTCTGCAATAAAAGTTCTCCCTAAAAATCAATATGATTTTTTCTTTACAATGATAATTATTGATTGGCAACTGTCCGAACGAGTTTGTTCCACCTCGGAAATTTTTAGGTTTATGGAATCCCAGCGCGATCCCACAAATGACCCTGTTGTCTTATGGCTGAATGGTGGTCCTGGATGCAGCTCATTGGGTAATATCAATTAACGCTATCGATTGATTCCCCCTATGCGTAAGCGTAGTGATTTCAGGTGGACTCCTTGAAGAACTTGGACCTTTTCATAACAATAATGACAATGGCACAACTCTTTACGAAAATGTGTACTCGTGGAATAAGGCAGGCTTATTGCTTATTGATTTATTGATTAATTCAATAAATTGCTTGTTTACAGGTAGCTAATGTGCTATTCTTGGAAGCACCCGTTGGTGTAGGCTTCTCATACACGGATGATTCTAACTACAATTGGTCCGATGATACCGTAAGCGTTAATCAATTATTGATTTATCAAATAAATATTAGTTACGGAATCAGATCTTGTGATGTATCTACGGTGATAAGATCTAAGTAATATTATAAAGTGCATGTTAGGGGCGTGACCTCACGAGTGGGCGGTCCATATTCATCTTCTTAATTGTTGAAATTTTCAGACTGCTGATAATAATGCACAAGCTGTGAAATACTTTTTCGACGAGGTATTTCCTCAATACAAGAATAATGAATTCTTCATTACTGGAGAAAGTTACGCAGGAGTCTATGCACCAATGCTAGCGCTGAGATTAGTACAAATGATCGATGTTGGGGATTACAATGGAAATTTTAAGGTAATTATATTTATGAGAATTTCTGGATTTTTGATTTAGACAGCTAAGGAAATTTAATTGAAATATAATTTTAGTCCGCTTTATACCAAATTTCAACTCAAGGATACATTTTCAATTCTCGAGAGCTTTCTGATAACAACGCAATTTACAAATGCGCCTTGTTTTAGATGACACACCGGTGAATCACACAATGATACACCGGTTGCTCATAACTGGTTATTGTTTTTGA